ATATATTATAGTAGAAAATTATTTTAAATATTAATATTTTTTTAAATATTAAAATTTAATTCATGATAAATAAAAAATTATTTAGGAAATTTTTTTATAAAAATTATAAAAACATTTTATGAAAAAATATAATTAGTCGCATTTAATATATATAAATCATTTTTAAAATACTAATCTCAAGTTTAAAGAAAGATTAAATTATATTTTTTATCATTTATTTTATTTTTAAGATTTAATATGATCATTTATCTTTTAAAATATTTATTTTTATCTTTTATCTTTTAAATTTAAGTTGTTTTAGTCCTTCTCAAAAACAATAATTCTACGTTATTTTGTAACATATATTTCTTACTTTGAGTGAATGAAGCTCATAAATTATATTATCTATTTAGCCCGTCATAGTGTTTTTTTCCTAAGTAAATTATGTTATCTAATTTTTAAAACTAATTATATGAATAACAATCTTTTGAAAAATAATTGTATCACTGTGGCGTGAATGATAAAATAGAATAAGACAGAAAGCAATTATTATAAAGGTGGATCGATTGGATTCCATCGAAATCAAATCAAATCAAAGCGTCTGAATGGGAACTTTCCTACGTTTGCCTTTCTCTTCTTTTCACAATTCTTGTCTTTGACATTTTTACACACTCACTCACAAGCACAAGCCCTCTACTTTTCCACACTTGTTTTCTTTGTTTTCTCTTATTCTCCGTAGCCAACCATGGAAAATTTCATCTCCTCCTCATCTTCTCCCTTACCTCTAACTATGTCACACATTTCAACTCCGTCATCTTCCGCGGCTTTCGACGACGCTTCCGAGGATGCCTGCAGCATATGTCTTGAGCCCTTCGGCACCGATGACCCCGCCACCGTATGATCCACCGTCACACTCTTTTCCTTACCCATTACCTTAACTGATTCTATTTTTAGTTTCTGCATCTGGGTTTAACCAAAAGTTACAAACTTGAACGAGTGATTCCTTTATCTGGGCTTATTGTTTTTTTTTCTTCCTCTAATGAAACTTGTCTGTGATGAAGTTAGGGTTGCTTCGTGTGCTTTCTTTATTGGATTTTAAACATGATCTGGTACTAGGTTTGTGTGTCTAATATTTACTTAACATTTTATATTAGTGGGTCCTTTTTCTTTAATAAAATGTATGCCTTTTATTTTTTTTACTCTTGTGTGATATAATGTGTGTTTTTGCAGTCTGCCAGTCTGTTTCTTTTTCTGTCATTCTTGCATCAATTAATTTAACATTTTGATCTAGTTGGGTGTTTCAGGACTAACATTGTGGTTGAAACCTAGTGTTTAATCTTTCTAATTCAAGAAGATGCCTATATTGTCATGTGCTATGGGTCTGTCTAAGTCCAATCGCGGCACAGTGCTTGATGTGGATGAGTTGCTAGTTGCAAGCTGTAGAATGTCCAAAGTTTTTTTTTTTTTTTTTTTTAGTCTCTAGATGTCAAGTATTACCTTCTGAATATAAACATTGAAAAGAGATTCATTGACGTATTTCTTTTTCAACTCCAGATTACCAGTTGCAAACATGAATATCATCTGCATTGTATTCTTGAATGGTAAGCCTAATTGCTCTATAGATAGTTAATGTCTGATCTTTTAGCCTTTTCTTTTTGAAGACATGAAGTGGTGAAAAGTGGTGTGAATTGTTTGCTTTTGACTAAAATTCTTTCCCCCTTAAGGTCACAGAGAAGCAAAGAATGCCCTATATGTTGGCAGTTACTTATCTTGAAAGACCCTGCCAGGTATTTATTGTGTTAGAAAACTTCTCCATCCTTTTTCTCTCTTCATGTCTTTTGATAGACTGCCTTATAGTTTTAACTTTTAATCAATCACCCATCTTTTCTGTAGCCAAGAGCTTCTAACTGCAGTTGAGGCTGAAAAATGCTTAAGTTCAAGGACTGTGCATTCACACGCATTCGACAATTCTCGTAGCCCCCTTGAACGGCTTAACAATGACCATGTGAGTGACATACCTAAGAATTGAAAGTGTTATTCTGTTTTGTTTTATTACTATTTTTTATTTATAGGTATAGGTTATGTTGATATGAGTCTTATTTCATTGATTTGACGAAAATATATGATCATTCTTTGATGGGAGGCAAATTGTTCTGTAGCAGGATGATTCTTGTTCAGATGACTCTGATTTTGATGAACAACTTATGCAGCACATAGTTGCTGCTGCAAGTAGAGCTCGTTATATCTGCAGAAGGGAAAGGCAGAGATCCCCTGGAGCAGGTCCTTCCGAGGTTCTAGTTTTTAACACTTCTATGCATGCCTCAGGGATGCAACCAACACTTACAACTTCACCTTCTGGGGGTACTTCACCAACTTTTGGTGTACCATCTGCTGCTCACAATCAACCTCCAACATCTGCTTTTTCCTCTGTCGGAATGGTTGCAACAGATACTTCTTCTGAGAGTGATATGCCTTCCAAACCCAGGTATGAGGCAGTGCAGTCAATTGTTTAGCATGAATCTTTTTCATTCAGTATTCTATTTACTTATTGATTTCTCATTGTGTTCCTTGGTCATCTTCAGAGTTGTCTATAGCCAGCCATCACCTGAGAGTGCTAGGAAACTAAACACTTCTGAGATGTTCTCCTTCCCTGAGTCCATCAAATCCAAACTTTCTGCTGCTTCAGCCAGGTAAACGTGTTTGTGCGTGGATTCTTGCATGCTATTGTTATAAGTTTAGAATCCCGATGGTGCTGATATATGTGTATTTGAAATGTTGCAACAGATGTAAGGAATCAATTTCAAAAAATACTCGTGGTCTTAAAGAGAAGTTAATTGCACGTAATGCCTCAGTGAAAGAGCTGAGTAAAGGTGTTCAGCGTGAGATGAATGCAGGCATTGCTGGTGTTGCACGAATGATTGAACGCCTTGATCTTAAACGGCCCTCATCTCCTCTCATCCCTGTAAAAGGGAAGTCTGTCCAAGAGAATAATAATAATGTTATTGAGCAGTTAAATAGTGAAGAGAGTGGAGCTTTAGTTGGCGATGTTACCTCAAATGCCTCCTCACTTGTTGGAGTGGAAATTCCTCCATCTGTTTAGGTCTACTATGCATTTAATCCTTACTAGTATCGTACTTTGAAAATTAATTGATTACATACCATATTTTTGGGACGGTCCACGGTCCATAATCATGTACATAACATAAACAGTAAAAGAAAGATTAAATTTGATAAATTTTGGCTTAAAAAGTGGCTAATCTTTTTCCATCTGTTGCTTTCTTCATTCAGAGTGGACATGGTGCTGTGAGGACTTAGCTCGAATGGTGAATCCGGGAAAGAGGCCTGCAATGCAAGAGACGACTTGATAACCAATGTGCCAGTTGGTATGCGTCCTGCATTTGGTCAATAAGTTGTAGGAATTCTAATTATTATATTAGTTTGCTTTGAGATAGTCTATCTATTGGATATATTTTAGACTGCATTTGTTCTTTTCATGTTTGTCGTTTTTTTAATTCCCTCTTCATATTCTAATACATGAATCCATTTTAATAATATATAATATAGATGTTCTTTGTTTTACGGCTCTAATTTGATTTCAGACGGCCCGTTTGATGTGAAATTTAAAATCATCTTTCAATAGAATTATTTTTAAAAAGCAAAGAGTAAGAATGGGTATACAAATGAGTCTCAACTTTTATTAGAAGAATTGATTTTAGACATTCATCTAAAGACTGAACACCGACGAGTTAAATAACTCAAGTTAGAAATGCCGGTTCCACTCAAATTTGAATTTTATATGAACTTGTTTTTCAAAGTCGAACTTAACTTGGTTTAACACTTTTGCATGGAAGATAATAATATATTTTAAATTTTATGCATTTTACCTTGGGAGATTTTATTTGTCGCGAATATGGCTTGTGCGGATGACAAAGAAGCAAAGAAGCATAAATAACTTGGTTTATTAAAGACATATGCTTCAAATACAATATATTTTAATGTAAAATACTCAGAAGCATAAATAACTCGGTTTATTAAAGACATATGCTGCAAACACAATATATTTTAACGTAAAATACACAGAAGCAAGCAAAGAAGCATAAATAACTTGGTTTATTAAAGACATATGCTTCAAATACAATATATTTTAATGTAAAATACTCAGAAGCATAAATAACTCGGTTTATTAAAGACATATGCTGCAAACACAATATATTTTAACGTAAAATACACAGAAGCAAGCAAAGAAGCATAAATAACTTGGTTTATTAAAGACATATGCTTCAAATACAATATATTTTAATGTAAAATACTCAGAAGCATAAATAACTCGGTTTATTAAAGACATATGCTGCAAACACAATATATTTTAACGTAAAATACACAGAAGCAAGCAAAGAAGCATAAATAACTTGGTTTATTAAAGACATATGCTTCAAATACAATATATTTTAATGTAAAATACTCAGAAGCATAAATAACTCGGTTTATTAAAGACATATGCTGCAAACACAATATATTTTAACGTAAAATACACAGAAGCAAGCAAAGAAGCATAAATAACTTGGTTTATTAAAGACATATGCTTCAAATACAATATATTTTAATGTAAAATACTCAGAAGCATAAATAACTCGGTTTATTAAAGACATATGCTGCAAACACAATATATTTTAACGTAAAATACACAGAAGCAAGCAAAGAAGCATAAATAACTTGGTTTATTAAAGACATATGCTTCAAATACAATATATTTTAATGTAAAATACTCAGAAGCATAAATAACTCGGTTTATTAAAGACATATGCTGCAAACACAATATATTTTAACGTAAAATACACAGAAGCAAGCAAAGAAGCATAAATAACTTGGTTTATTAAAGACATATGCTTCAAATACAATATATTTTAATGTAAAATACTCAGAAGCATAAATAACTCGGTTTATTAAAGACATATGCTGCAAACACAATATATTTTAACGTAAAATACACAGAAGCAAGCAAAGAAGCATAAATAACTTGGTTTATTAAAGACATATGCTTCAAATACAATATATTTTAATGTAAAATACTCAGAAGCATAAATAACTCGGTTTATTAAAGACATATGCTGCAAACACAATATATTTTAACGTAAAATACACAGAAACACAGAAGCATAAATAATTCGGTTTATTAAAGGCATATGCTGCAAACATAAATAACTCGGTTTATTAAAGGCATATGCTGCAACACTGCTTATTCAGTGGGGTGTAAGCAAGTAAACTTTCAACACTGTAAAAGAACCCAATATATTAAGCATTGACGATCATCCCACCTGCAAAGAACCCAATATATGGGTAAGCAAACTTTCAACACTGTAAAAGGCAAAGTAAAGGAGCGCACACACACACCATTCGGATGGAGAACTTGGCCAGTATAGTAGGAAGAGTCCTGAGAGGTTGCCAAGAACAAATAACATGGTGCAATCTCACATGGCTGAGCTGCACGCTCCATTGGCAACTCAAACCCCAAGTTCTGAATCATCTCAGAAGGCTTGGAAGCAGGTTGTATTGGCGTCCAAACTGGACCCGGTGCCACACCATTCACCCTAATTCCCCTACTTACCAGCTGCTGAGCAAGTCCTCTAGTGAAGGCAACAATAGCTCCCTTTGTAGCAGTGTAGTCCAACGCTTCTGGATTTCCATTGTAGGCATTAACTGAAGTAGAGTTGATGATGCAGCTCCCTTCTTTCATGTGCTTCAGAGCATGCCTACACATTCCACACTCGTTTCAATCAAGATACATATATATGAAAAATGAAAATCTATATTGGATTTTTCTATACTTGACCAAAAAGAACTGTGAAAAGATATTGGTCGCAAAAACTCTTTCAAGCTGCTGTTGTGTGATTTCCTCTACAGAGTTTGTCAAATGCTGCTCAGCTGCATTGTTCACTAGAACATCAAGGTGACCATATTCGTTCACAACTAGGTCAATGACCTGTTTGCAGTTCTCATCAAAGCCAATTTCCGCTGCTATAGCCAATGGATTGTCTGCGTCACTTGTCTTGTCCTCATGGCCTTTTACGTATGTAAAGGCCACGGTTGCACCCTCTTTTGCAAAACACAGGCAAACTGCTCTACCAATTCCTGAGTCACCTCCTGTCACCAACGCCACTTTTCCCTGTAGAAAGTGTTGGAGCAATGCACACATATGCACACTTATGAAAACTGTATGTTTATTCTCTGAATCATGCACTTGAATTTATAGTACATCAAACAAAATTAATTGACTCAACAAAATTGAATTTGAATTAATATCACAACAGAAAGTCGGCTGATGCACCATAATAAATTAAAAAAAATAAAAATTACAAAAATAAATTAATAAAAAAACTATTTATCAAAATAAATAATTTTTGTCACGTTGGATTTGGAGGAACAGGAAAGCGTCAGTGAATGTGATGATTTCTTAACAACAAAAAAGAAAAGCTACACGTGAAGATGTGAAGAGAGAAAAGCTACGGAAAACGTCAATACTGTAGACGTTTTGTGTAAAAAAATAAAAATGAATTAAATACAAAACGTTATTTGGATTGACCTTTTGTGTCTTTTACGTTTTATACCTATTACTATAAATAAATAAAAAAAATTTAAAAAAAAAACGACAAAAATGGCTAAAAATTAATTTATTTATAATTATACATTCAAAATCAATTTTAATAACAAATTTTTAAATAACGTTTAATATTAATATCTAAACAAAAACAATTTTACAAATTTACGATAACTCTAAATTAAGTATATTAATGCATACTCACCCATTTCATGCCTGTGTAGAGCCTAACGTAATGTTGGAAATATTGATTTGAAAACGTCTTTGTCTTTGACGATTTTATATACATTTTTATTTTTTTTTTAAATTTATTATGGTTCTTATATAAGAGCATCTTTTTAAATCTATCAAATTAATTTATATTTTTATATCAATAAATATTAGGTTTTAACTTATAAATAAATTTGGAATGAAGTTAAACTAGCACAATTAATTTGTTGCAGATTATAAAAATTCAGTTGAAAATTTAAATTAATTAAGATAGATTCCAGTGATTTATTTTTGCGTTAAAAATGCAGACTATGTAATTTTGTGTCCCAATTATTTGCAAGATATAGATGGAGTATTTATTTTTTAAAATTTAATTATTTGCAAGATATAGATATATCTTGCAAATAATTGGGACAAAAAATTACATAATCTGCATTTTTAACGCAAAAATAAATCACTGGAATCTATCTTAATTAATTTAAATTTTCAACTGAATTTTTATAATCTGCAACAAATTAATTGTACTAGTTTAATTTCATTCCAAATTTATTTATAAGTTAAAACCTAATATTTATTGATATAAAAATATAAATTAATTTGATAGATTTAGAAAGATGCCATTATATAAGAACTATAATAAATTTAAAAAAAATAAAAATGTATATAAAATCGTCAAAGGCAAAGACGTTTTTAAATCAATATTTCCAACATCACGTTAGGCTCTACACAGGCATGAAATGGGTGAGTATGCATTAATATACTTAATTTAGAGTTATCGTAAATTTGTAAAATTGTTTTTTGTTTAGATATTAATATTAAACGTTATTTAAAAATTTATTATTAAAATTAATTTTGAATGTATAATTATAAATAAATTATTTTTTAGCCATTTTTGTCGTTTTTTTTAAGGTCAATCCAAATAACGTTTTTTATTTAATTCATTTTTTTACACAAAACGTCTACAGTATTGACGTTTTCCGTAACTTTTGATTCATTTTTTTACACAAAACATCTACAGTATTGACGTTTTCCGTAGCTTTTCTCTCTCCACATCTTCACGTGCAGCTTTTCTTCTGTGACGCTTTCTTGTTTCTCTAAATCCAACGTGGCAAAAATTATTTATTTTGATAAATAGTTTTTTTATTAATTTATTTTTATAATTTTAATTTATTATGGTGCATCAGCCCAGAAAGTCACATCACTAAACCAAACATGCATCTAAATTCTTAAAGTAAGAAGACTTGCACTACACTAACACCATTTATAAAGTTAAAAAAATGTCTACATTTTTTTAGAACAGTGCTATCGATAAAAAGTATCCACCAAACATGTATCAAATTTTGGTGCATGGACAATTTGGTGGTGGAATCTCCTTTTCCAAATTTTTTTTATCTACAAAACTTAAATTTAAAATTCAATAGTTTTTAAGAAGATTAAATTTTAAATATTTGTTTAAGAAAAATAAATTCAGTCCTAATCAGACTGACAACTTTAATTTCAAATATTTGTTTAAGAAGATTAAATTCAGTCCTAGTCAGACTGACAATTTAACTTCAAATATTTGTTTAAAATCGAATTCAGTAATATTTAGACTTATAACTTTTATTACTTTCGATAGAATTTTTTAGAGTTGTCAAAATGGGCTTGGCCCGGCGAGCCAACCTGGCTCACCACGGGTTCGAGCCGGGTTGGGTTAAAAAAAATTTGAAAATTTTAATACGGGTCAAATTTGAACCCGGCTCACCACCAACCCGGCTCACCCGGGTTGAACCCGTGGTGAGCCGGGCTGGCCCACCAACCCGTGATTATTATTTTTTTTTTGAAAAAATACAATAATTATTGGGTCATTGTGCAGTCCAACATGAGACAATAATAATTTAATGTTAGGTTGTGATATGTAATTTTTGTATTTTGGATTGTATTTGAAGTTTAAGATAATTTTGGATTATATTTATCTATTTGAGATTATTTAGATTTGATTTGATTGTATTTAAAATTATCATTTAATGTTTGGGATGAATAATTCATTTAAGGATGTCTTAATTAAGAATCTCAGATTTTTAAAATAAGTTTAAATTTTTGGTCTTTAGTTGTATATTAAGAAAAAAATATGAAAAAAATTATTTTTTTAAGGTGAGCCAACCCGTTTAACCCACCAACCCGTGGTGGGCCGGGCCGGGCTCGATTTTTTTGAGCTCACTGATAAGTGAGCCGGGTTGGGTTGACCCACCAAATGGCCAACCCGTGGTGGGCCGGGCCGGGCTGGGTAGCCCGTTTTGACAGCTCTAAAATTTTTGTTCTCAATTTTTTTTTCTATATACAAAAATTCAAATTCAAATATTTGTTTAAGAAAAGAAGATAAAATCTGTTTCTACTCATACTAACAATTTTAATTGAAGACCCGGCCAACAAATGTTAGTAAGTGTTTACATTGTTGTATTAAAGATAAGAGAAGAAAAAAATTTGTTTGGAAATGGTGCCTATACCTGGAGTTTATTGGCGGGCTTGTGTTCAGGATGTATGGCTTGTGGGAGTGGATCCATTACGTGTTCTTTTCCTGGCTGAGTTTGCTGGCTCTGAGGTGGAAACTTGGACTCCTTGCTTGCCATTTTTGCTGAATCAGAAACAGAATGATTGTGAAGGAAACTTTCGATGGAGTGATAGAAGCTGTGGATGGTACGAGGATATATATAGAGAAGTTTTGAGTTAGAATTACGTGTTGTTATGATGAGGGGTGTCTATTTTGCAAGGGATGAGTAATGTCACCGAAGAAGGAATGGCTGCCATGTCAAATGTCATGGCATGCCACGTAAAAGTGGGTCTGCCAACGTTGTTATATGTGGGTGACAGGCCAAACTCAAAGGCTCTTGGACCAAGCGGTGGAGTTCACAAGCATGTGTGAGTGATGGAGATCACCACCAAAGATAAGTGATTGTACACGTAAGTTATATGCTAAATTTTTCGTATATAATTCTACAAAATCTCGGATGTTATTCGTTTTAGTACTACACCAAATGATACAATCATAAAGATATAATACATTATACTTTATTGGATTTGACTTGTAGATGAATACACAGGCATATATGTTATGCTTGTTTGGCTAATATAGTGATGAGATTCTTTAATATCATGCTAAGAATAAATGGGATTTTTAGACAAAGATGTCATTTGTTTAGTGAGAAAAATAATGAGTTACATGTAATTCTATTTCTAAGTGTATCATTATATTCATATACATGATTTTTCATGCATTCTAGAAGCAGAAATGGTCAAAGTTAGAAGGTTGCAATTTTAGAAGGAGAAATGATCAAAGTCTAAGTTAAAAAGTTGCTACAATGAAAGTAATGACTCAAGCAACTTCTAAACAATTGTGGTTGACCTTCTAACGACTAAGAGGGGTGTATTGGATTAGGATTTTGAAGGACTTTTTCTAGACGACAAGATCGTCAACACCAGCAACATCGAAGACCAGGGATGGATGACAGGCATTTGGAGCTACCTGAAGGCAGGAGTTTTGCCCGAAGATAGGGACGAAGCTTGGAAGATGAGGTTGAGGTCGGCCAAGTTCGTGATCGTCGGTGACAAACTGTTCAAGCGTGGCATCTCTACGCCACTGCTCAAGTGCTTAACTACACCTCAGGCAGCCTATGTCGTCGAGGAGATCCACCGAGGCATATGTGGGATGCATTCCGGGGCACGCTCAATGGCGACCAGAGTACTCCGAGCAGGATACTACTAGCCCACTTTGAAATCGGATTGCCAGGACTATGTACAAAGGTGCAAAGAATGCCAGCAGTTCGGCAACACACATCGGCAACCACCCGAAACTCTTCACCAAATGATGTCGTCATGGCCTTTTTCCTAGTGGGGAATGGACATCCTAGGACCATTCCCCCCAGCGAAAGGTCAGCTCAAGTTCCTCCTGGTGGCAATCAACTACTTCACCAAGTGGATCGAGGCATGCCCACTCGCTAAGATCACCACTGAGAACATACGGAAATTCCCCTGGAAGAGTATCGTATGCAGGTTCGGGATACCCCATTCCCTTGTTACTGATAACGGCCGACAGTTCATCGCGCAGGACTTCGAAGACTTTCTTCGCGAGCTCGGAGTCAAGCATCTTCCGACCTTAGTGGAACATCTGCAAACTAATGGTCAAGCCGAAGCAGCTAACAAGGTGATACTCCGAGAACTCAAAAAGCGCCGCGAGAACGCCAAGGGGCAATGGGCCGAGGAACTTCCTAGCATCCTCTGGGCATACCATTGCACCCCCTAGTCAATAATGCAAGAAACGCCTTACAGGCTGACTTACAGAGCTGACGCAATGATTCCAGTGGAAATCGGAGAGACATCTCACCGACGCCAAGTCTTCAACAACGAGCAGAACGCTCGAGAGTTAGCATCCGACCTCGACCTAGTTGACGAGCTCAGAGACGCTCAAATCCACGAAGAAGCCTGCAAGCTCCGAGCTTCCATAAGATACAATACGCGAGTACGGCCTTGCTCTTTCCGAGTTGGCGACTTGGTGTGGCGTTTGCTAGGCGAAGCTCGGAAAGACACATCAGATGGAAAGCTTACACCCACCTGGGGTGGCCCATTCCGAGTTGTAGAAGAATTGCAAAACGGAGCTGATGGAAGAGCATGGGCTAAAGGCCCAACCACTAGAGCAATGGCCAGGAGGTTACTTGAAGATTTGACTGCTTCAGAGCTTAGTGGGCCCAATGTGCTTGGTGGGCCTAGGGTGCTTCTCACTTGGGCTTTGATTGATTGAACACCATGTTTAAATTGTATTTTCTTAGTATAGGAATTTACTTTGTTTTTGGTCTTGTATTTTGACCATAGATTAGGGTTTAGGTGTCTTGGGCTTAATTTTGGGCTTCTTGGGCTTTGGGCTTTTGATACCCAATATTGGGCTCATTCTTCTTCTTATATTTTTTCCTATTCATTGTATTCATTAGACCAATGTATTTCGGTCATTAGATTAGGGTTATATGAAGAATACATTAATAGGAAAATTAGGCTTCATTTATGCATCATTTAGAAGTAATTTGAGTTGAATTTGAGTCACATGGATGGCATGGAGTGGTTCCGGCCATGTGAGCTTCAAATGCAACCCAAATCACTTCTAAATGACTCCTAAATGAGGGTAGCATCTGAATTAATCACGTTGGAAGCCAAAGTTTGAATTTCAAATTCAAATTTGAAATTCAAACTTCGGGTTCGGGTTTTCCCCGATTGTCAGGGCGGAGACGAGGTCATCCCCATACCCCGCCCCACTTAATAATATAATTAAAAAATTATTTTTATATATATATAAAGCAAAATTAGAAATATTTATATGTAAAAATTTATATTATTATTTTTTTTAAAATTGTTCATATTTATTTAAAAGAAAAAAAAGAAGAAAAAAAATAGGAGCAGAGCGAGGGTGGGGACGGGAAAATCCAAATTCCGCCGGGAACAGAGATGAAGACGTCTATAACCAACTAGTTTGAAGATCGGACCACTATAAATAAACTACTTAAAGCAAAATTTCAATAAGAGAAGGAAATGTAATACACTCATGCAAAAAATTTGTAAAATTGTTAAAGCAATAAAGTATTTTTTAATGAATGTACCTTTCTCATTAATCACTTCGATTGTGATCCTAATCATATGTAATATCTTAAATAGTCTTTATTAACTTTATTTTATACTAGTAGAAAAAGATATACTCCACAACTCTATATATTTGTTTTTCATGATGATTGTAAATAAATAAATATATAAATTTAGGACTAAAAATGTTTAATTAAAAATAAAAATTAATAAAATAGTAATTAAATCATATCCCTCTTATAATAAGTATAAATATTATGCATTCACTCTTTAAGTGATAAGATAACATAATCAAATTTAAATAATAAGATAAAATAATCAAGTCAAGAGTATTGTATCTTTGAAGTTGAACATACTTTTTTAAAGGATAATCATTTGAAAATTAGTTCAATTGGACTGATACCAGGCTAATTGGGTGAGTTAATGTTAGTTAAACAACTGGTGAGTTGTGTCATCGAGCCTGCTTCAAAAAGGATACTATTGTTGAAAAGCCTATGAAGCTCATGGGAAAGCATACCCATGGAATATGAGTTGATTATAGTGAGAAAGACTTCCTAAGGTAGGGACTATTTGTAGCCCAAGTGATTTATTGTTGAACCAAAACAAAAATACCTTATTCTGCATATCACTTTACTCTTTTATATTTGGGGTAGAAAAATGATCAAACTACCCAACCTACAATAAAAAAGAAATTTAAAGTGGGTTAGGAGATTCAACTCACTAAATTGCTTAATTTGTCCAACCTAACTTTTTTTTTTTTGAACTTGTATTGTGAGAGAGACTCACTTTGTTGTTAGGTTAAAGCTTCACCAATCTTTTTAACTTATATTGAGATTAATTTGAATTATAGAATGAATTACAAAAGAATTTATAATTTTAAAAATTAGTTTTTCATTTACTTTTTTGAAATATGTTTTAGTGATAACTCACTAACAAACAATATGGATTATCTTTCCTAAATCACTTTCAATTGTGGGCTATCTCTCTCTATTTAAATTGAGTTGAAAAATAGAATGAAGCGTTTTGACTCACTTTTCATTTTTATTTAAAGCATATTCTTTTATTGAAAAATGTTTGAAGTATAATATTTTTTTTAACGCATGAACAACCATTGTATCAATAAACAATTATATTTGAGGAATTTTATTAAAATTTGATTTGACGTTAATCTTTTGAAGTATCATTAAAATTTCCTGCTTTTGAGAAACTTACCTCTCATAACTTCTAGAAGCATATCTTTCAATTACTGACTATTAATATTTTGCAATGAACTTTTGTATACAATAATATTGTTCATTGATATCATAATCCTTTGATTATACATCATTTCCTTGCTTTTAATGTTTTTTTGATAGCCAAAAAGGTAAAAAAGTATTTTGAGCAAAGTAGAGAATATAAACTTGTGCATGGTAATCCAAAGATTATCAAAGGTCATAATTCAACCGTTTCGTGAGTTTCTCATTTACTTCAACTATAATGCTCAATTTAGTGAGTGTTTTAGTAGAATAACAATGAGATAGAAATTCTCTTAATGATGATAATTATAAGCATCAGATGCCATATGATAGGTGAGGTTGGATCGTAATTTTTAAGATTGTAAGAGTTTTTTTTCTCATTCAATTATTTATCTGAATTGAATTAGCTGGAGTTAATATCACCATGGTTCAACTCAGCGCAGTTAACATGGCTGAAGTTGATTTGAATTAATTTGAACTCTAAAATTAAATACGATGTATTTTTATGACGGAATAACTGTTGAATCTGATTTAATATATAATATTATCTTAAAAAAATATAAGTTTTGTAGAATTATTATGTATTAATAAAAAAAATTATTTAGTTATTAATATTTTTATAATATGATATTATATTTATAATAAAATTATTTGTTTTAAAATATATATTATATAATATACTTTAATTTAAATTTTATACTTATTTTAATTTATAATTTAACTATACATAATGTTGAAAGTAACATAATATATTAAATTTGTGTTTTAAAAATGGTCTGATCAAAAAATCAGGTCAAATTTAAACAAAGATACACCTAACCCATGTTCATCCATATTCATTAATACAAAAATTTATAATATAAAAGTTAGTTTGTTTGTCTCATATCAAGTAGTATCATAAGTTATTTTACACAAATAAACAAAAAAAGTATTATTTTCATTCTTATAGAGATTAAGAAAAGTAATTAATTTATTTGATAATAATAAATTTGTTTTATATATATATATATATATATATATATATA